TAAGCCTTCTGTAAAGCTTAATTGCTCTTGATGTAGTTGTTGTTACAAAATACATTTTAATACTACAAAGGGAAGCCCTCTGAAAGTGACGGTGGATGAGAGCAACAAGTATTTAAGCCTATGTCAGATGAACTGGCAATAAGCAGGAAAGGAAATGGGGGTCTAGGAGTAATTTGCTATTTCAGAGGTCCGTTACAGATAACCAATATCAAGGTCCTAACCTTTAGGTATAATTTAATCCTTGAGTGGTTATAAAAAGTTTTGATTTTTTAGAAGGCATACCAATGCTAAAAGAAGTATATTCAGCCATGGAGCGGATGTCTGAGCTAAATAGCAAATGAAAATGTAGCTAATATTTGGCCATCCGTTGTGGGGAAGTTGGAAATACAGCAGGAAGTGGAAACAGCTTTCTCTTCACTATGTTTAGTGACACATTCACTGAGTGATGGTAGCCCTCTTGGTGCAGAAGGACAGCACTCTTCTAAGGTGGAAGTCCAGCATGAAATGATAAATTTGTATTGTCTGCACTCAGAATGCTGAGAGTAGATTGTAGAGTCCTGGTTAATAGAAGCATAAAGTCTTAAACATGGAAGCAGTTCTGAAAATCATCTAATATCAACCCCTCATTTGATGGATAAGGAGTTGGAAGCCCAGAGAGGCTATGTAATGGCAGATCTCAGAGTAGAAGCCCAGCTCTTTTGTTTCCAATCCAGGACTTTTCTAGGTGGAAGATTGGGTTGAAAGCACATAGATAACAGGAAGGTAACAAATCTTCATACAGGACATAATTTCCCTGGGTTCCATTCCATGATTATTCCTTCCTCCAACACCAGAGCCAATGTCTGTAGACTCTGCTGTCACCTATTATTGTACATGAAGTATAGCGGTGATGGGCAATACCATCCCTCTGGACACCTACTCCACTCATTCAGGAGAAAGTGGGACACCTGATGCGTTTTAATACTTGCCTGACTAAAGGTCCCAAAATACTGCTGATGCAACTGGTCCTTGAATAGCACTTGAAGCCACTTATATATATAGGAGAGTTTAGAGTGAGGCTTCAACCTCAGAAAGAAATAGGACCAGCAAAAACAAGACAGGAAGGCAGGGCCTCAGCATCAGGTGGAGGTGTAGACTTTACTTTTCCCAAGGGACTGGATAGAAGTTAACCGTAGTAACCGAGGTGGAGGTTCGGTCTTAGATATTTTGGTGTGGGGGTGGTGCTAAGAGGGGAGAGAGGGCCTGAGCTGCCATGTTGGCAGTATGGAACCCCAGGATCATGTCTGGGTAATCTGATCACTGCTCTGACAACTCCACGAATAAGGTTAAAGTAGCCTTAGTTGAGTCTCTAGCCTTCGGTAACACACTTTGCATAGGTAGGAAGGCTGAGGAAGCAAAGCCAAAACTGATGAGCCCACTTGGCCATCAGAACTGTCTGGAGAAGGAAAATTCTGGGCGGGGTGTACGTGTTCTGGAATGCCAGGGCTCACTAATCACAGTTTGCATGACTATTTCCCAGGAACACTTTGAGGTGATATAAAGATGGATCAACTGATCAGTAAGATTCTGTCTAACATATGCTAAATTAATGAAGGAGATAGGTCTCAGCATATAGGACCTAACTTGAAAGACTTCCTAGTGGCCAAATTGTGGAAATTATAAGGAAAAAAACAGTATTGACAGTGATACATAATAACCCATAGAATAAAATAAGAACCCAGGAGTCTGCATAGCTAGTGAGAAATCTCTTCCTCACAATAGTATTCCTATTAATAAATGTAGAAAGAATGATAGAAATAGGATATCACTATTTGGCAAACATCAGTGGATGCTAAAATTAATGGGTGAATGTTGAATGAAAGATATAATGCGAAACAGGGTATTGATATATTCTGAAAGCATTTCCCCCACAACATATTTATTGATGACAAAAGGAAAAATAGTTAACCTTGATGTGGGAAAATCACTTCAAGTGATTGACATTAATGTCACCAGTGATGAGAACAGCAGGATCAGGTGCCTCTTGATATG